GAAAGGATCACATGATGATGAGTTCATTAACAGTTTTTGCAATAAAATCAACAGTCAACAGCTTTGAAAGTCATGAGACTTGCTTGAGGAGGAGGTATTGGCTCAACATGTATATAGGTACAGGATCACAGGTAACGGAGGTGAAAATATAATTAATCTTTGCAGTAAAGAAATTTTAAAAATCATTACAAAGCTCGACAGTCGAGGGGGTGAATTTACTGTGAGGTCCATTCAGATTGTTAACTGTTCTAGAGTTGGAATTACTACAAATGATACACTAGTAGTATTCCCTTTTTGCATCAATAAGAGCATTGTGATACTCCATTTGATGCTGATTAAATAATAATTTATGGATACATTTATACATTTATTTATAATTGGGTATTAGTTGTATAATACATGATTTTCTGATCTTATTGTGGACGGTTTGAAAGTGCACATACTGTAGAAATCCTCTGAGAAACAACCCATCTCTCATGTAAAAAAGTTCACATGTAAAACTGCTCGCTCTGCTTTGATGAATAAACTGTATTGAAGATAAGATCCATTAAGACACAAACAACATGCATCACATAATTGCTTAAGATGCTGTTTATGCCCAGAGCTAAGAAATGCACACATAATCCGTCAAGTCATGCCTCAAAGACATAGCTTTACATGAATTAAATCAAACAGCCTTAAATGAGCCCATGTTGGAAATAACACAGCTTAATTTAATTCTGTCGCTGTTGTCCATGCTCAGCATTAGTCTTGTAAAGGCCCGTTCATCATCATTAGCCTAACACATTTTTCCACTGTGTTGATGCTCTGGGATGATCCCGCAAGGTATGTGGCATTGATCATGACTCCTTTTGTTTAAAACTTCCAATATAACCTTTAACTTAAGAATAAGCATAAATATAAATAATTACAGTCCTGTAGAAATTAATAATATATTTTCTCTCTGGGAGGTCACAATTTCATGGATAAAAACAGCAGTAATTTAAAAAGACATATCTGCTACTTTATAAGTTTAAAACAAGTTTAAAAACACGCATCATCTTTTTTTCCCATTATGTGTTTTTTTTTTCTCTTCCTTTCTCAATGCTGAATTAATGATGATTATTGAGTTGGCCTTGTGTATTTTAGTATTGTTTAGATATTCTAATGAGTCATGAGACTACAGTATTCAAAAGAATTTTAGACTAGAGCTGTGCAATAAATCAAAATCGAATTACAACTGTGATTTGGAACATTGCAATTACCTAATCGCAAGAGGCTGCGATATGAAATATATATATATATATATATATATATATATATATATATATATATATATATATACATATATATATACATATACATATATATATATATATATATATATATATATATATTAGTGCTGTCAAAATTAACACGTTAACGCATGTGTACATAAAAAAAATTTACGCAGTTGCAATTTTTTTTTTTTTTTTTCCCTGTTGTGGCCAGGGGCAGACCGGGCAGTTTCCCGCAAGGTCGACGTACTTTTTGGGCCGGGCTGATCATCTTCTTATGATCTGATCAGCCCATAAAACTCTTAGCAGACTGTCATGTTTTTCTGCCTAAGTGATTCACGGCCCTGTGAGCTGTCACGCTCTGAAAGTAAGATGTTTTTCCGGACAGAGCGGCCATGTGACATAATCTGCAGCCCATTGGTTCTTTTCTTTATTGACATTGGGCTGACCCAATCACAAACTTCCATGTTGGGCTCTCTGTAACGTAGGTGTGTATTTGTTAAAATAGCCAAGAGTCACGCCTGTTTCTCACGCGCGGGTCCGCGGGAGAGCAGAAGCAGAGAGCAGGCATTTGAGCAAGCAGTGGGGCACAGATCAATATATTCCTGTCTATTCTATCTAGTTACCTATCGGTCCATATAAATATACTTTTTTTTTTTTTTTTTTTTACTTTTAATCTGCACCACGGCCTGTGGTAACTTCCTCCTATGCTGTTTCCTTAACCTGCAAGTCTTTATTTTACAAATTATAAAGAATTTTTGCTTCACAAGCTCTATGAGAAGTGTCATTCATGTATTTTAGGATGCACTCGGTCAGAAGACAATCGCATGAGATATCATGACATTGTGTTTTTGATTGTCAGCATGATGTAGACTTAGAGTGATAATAATATTTATATAATATGGTTATTAAAATGATATTTATACATGACCAAACTAGTGTGCAACTTAAGCAACTTTTTTTACATTTAGTTTTGTAGTTCGGGGCCAAACAAATATTTGTTGCATTTTTTAATTGTTTAAGTTCATTTGATTGACAATGTAAAATCTTTTAGCATCATTTGATGTTTCATTGTTGCGTTAAATTACTAATGTTTGTTTTTTGATCGTGCACCTGCCTTTAAGATTTTCTAGATGTGCGCACATTTCTGTTTTTTTCATTGTTGCGATAAACATTTTTTTAAAGGTCTCTGACACATTGTTTTTATTATTTATCTTTATTTTATTAATCAACATTAACTGTGCGCGTCAGCAGGCAGTTTTTTTATGTTAATTATTTATTAGGCTACCTCAAAACAGGCACCCACATTTCCAGGATGGATTATAATTTTATAAAAAAAAAATTTAAAAATTAAAAATTAAGTTTTTATTTGTCAACTCTCGTTATTTCCTATATTTGGCTTTTGTGCATTTATAGAATGGGAGTTGGTAAACATATTCAAGGGCGTGCACAGATGGGGAGGATTTTAATTGATGCAGTGGGCTGCTAAGGCCCAAAATGCCAGGGCCAATTTTTTTGTCCCAGCCCTGCAATGAGTACAATTTGTTTGTATTCAATACTTTATTATTATTATTATTATTATTATTATTATTTTACATATCTGTAATACTTGCATTTTGGCATTTCTTGCAGTCCACTTAGAATCCAACATGGAAATCAATGTTTTCTTTATTGGCATGGATTGGTTTGAAATTCAAATGGCATTAACATGCCTGTGTTTTTATTTCTGTAATAAAATGGCTGTTAAGCAAGGATCTTGATGATTTATTGTGGGTATATTGTTTACATGAAGACATCTGTGTTATAAGTTAAACAAAAATTCTAATAATGAATTCTATTTTGAATTTAAATAGTTTTTGTCTTGCGTTTACATTAATTTTACATTCGAATAGCTTCAGTTTTAAGTTTCAGTCTTTTAAATGTGATTAATATATATATATATATATATATATATATATATATATATACGAACTTTGAGCAAAATAAATAAAACAAAAAGAAAAGCGCAGACAAGTAAAACCATTAAAAGCAGCTCTAAAACCATTAAAAGACTAATTCATATCAAAGAAAAACAGCATGTCTATGTCAGTAATATCGAAATATTTTGGTCACAGTCACCAAACAAAAACTGCTGCATTTAAAAATGAGATGCAGAGCTCAGGAATGATTCTGCCATGCTATACTTCAAATGTCATGCCAACATGCTACTGTAAACAGAAGCAAGCAACGACATCTCTTCTGATCGGTCCATTGGTTTGCAACTGACAGTGATGAGCAGCACTGCATGTAAAAGTTGAAATTGCAAAAGACACAAGTGTATAACTGCCATGCATGTCTGTCAAGCACAAGGTTACATAGAAAAACTGTTAAAATTCAAGACACTGTGCCATCTCTTGTACACATACTGTAAGACAGTAGCCCCTTTCACACAGTGATACCGGTAAATTTCTGGAAAATTTCCGGAACGACTTTACCGGTATATTGAAAAAAGCGCTGTTCACACAGGCGAGGATGTTACGGAAATTTTCCGGAAAAGAGCATTCACACATCCATTCCAAAATACCGGTAAATTCTGACATCATTCACCACAAATGAGCTTTAAACGGCTGCGCTTGTATTTGTAAACATTTCACTAAATTACAAACTCTGTGGATGATCAATATTGTGAACAACTTTCCCAGGATCACTTTCGCATGTCGAGATGTTCATAATATGTGCGTGTGCAGGCGCTCACAGGCACACGTAAAGCTTGAAGGTAAACAAACAACGGCTTATCATAAGCATCTCATTGATGATTATTAACACAGTTGGCATTAAGAAGAACATATAAACGTTATCCGACTAACTTCTAGCAGCTAAATGTGTCTGGAAAAATATTCAAAGGCTTTTATCCTCACAAACCGCGCAGACGTAAATGCGTCTGACCGTTGTGATTGGCTAAAGCAGACGTCTCACGTCAGCACGTTCTAGACGTGTACGCGCTTATTACGGGAATCTTCCTTCTGCATTCACACAGCGCAGCATTCCGGCAAATTGCCGGTAATGTTACAACTTCTCTTTCCGGAAAATAGCCAGAACGAATTTACCGGTATTTTCAAAAAGGACCTGTTCACACATACAACCTTTCCGGAAAATTGCCGGCAATTTTCCGGAAAGGTCTGTATGTGTGAAAGGGGCTAGTATGTGGTCCGTTTTTCAACATTCAACATAAATCAATGTCTTTTTTTAAATGAGCTAATAACTCTAAACAGAAGAGAATGCAGCGGAAACAAAAAAAAACAATAGCATTAAAAAGTTTTTTTTTCTCCAAGGTTGATGGTCTGCCATACGCTAAAAAAGTCTATGTTACACAAAGATCACTACATATTTAGCTTGTTTGGAAGGACAAACAATCATATTTTTGGCCCCAAGCATACTATTTAAAGCCTGACTTTGATTCCACTGATTTCTGAAGGTCAGTAAATGCCTTATGTTCAGTACAATGGATCCAACGATTAATTGACTAATCCTCTACTAATCTACCACAATAACTGATTTCTTCATAAGGTGTTTCTCAAAACATGAATACATGTGATTAGTCTGATTAATCAGCAAATCATTTAATTAGTCTTATCATTAATTCGATTTATTTCATTAACATCAAATGACAGCCTTAATTAAAGTCTTATCTTGCCCGAACACACTGTATTGTTTTCTTAATTTCATACAAAACCAGATAATGTGTGTGCTATTGTTTGTAGTTACCAGCACGTGGCTCCACCGTTCTATTGCTGTTGGGGTCCATGAACACAAACCGTCCGCCACCAAAATCCAACCCATAATCAGACAAGTAAAGCAAAGATGTGTAGTCAAAGGATCCGTAAGTCTCCTGTTGAAAGAAAGGGACATCTTAGACAATTGTATATATAGTTGAAGGCAAAATTATTAGCACTCCTGAATTATTAGCTTCATGGTATATATATATATATTTTCCCCAATTTATTTTTAACAGATTTTTCAATGCATTTCTAAACATAAGTTTTAATAACTAATTTTTTATAACTGATTTATGTTTGCCATGATCACAGTACAAAATAGTTTACTAGATATATTTCAAGACACTAAACGTAGCATGCACTGTACTTTAACCTATCCATACTTGAAACAATACTGCCTACAGCTATGTGGACATCTATTCATTGTACATATCGCTGTCAGTTTTACATTGTCCTGTTTTTAGGGAGTATGCTGTTGTATTTTGCACTGTCGTTGTATTTGCACTGTCTGTATGTTGCACTGTCAATTTATTTGCACTGTCTGTATTTTGTACTGTCTGGAGCCAGCACCTAAGCTTTTCACTCATCGTAGCACACGTGCTGCTGATGATGTGACAATAAAAGTGATTTGATTTGATATTCAACTTAAAGTGCAACTTAAAGGCTAAACTAGACAAATTAGGGTAATTAGGCAAGTCATGTATCATTTCAATGTGGTTATGTCATTGGCCCATGAACATTTCCCGCTTGTTATCAAACTATTTTATAACTGTGAGAAGAAGCAATTCAATGATAATATCATGTTAAAACAGCTACCATAACCTTAGATGTCAATATGTGGCTCTTTTTAGATTCTCAGAAGCTATAGAAATTAAAAATGTAAAACAAAAAATTCGTTAGAACTATTGTTTTTGTTTACATCCCTCAAAATGGTCTATAACAGTGGTTTATTCTGTAGACAATGGAATAAAAATATTGCTTAAGTGAGCTATAATATATAAAAATATTAACTTTAAAATGTTGTTTTATTATTTAAAACTGCTTTTATTCTAGCCAAAATAAAACAAAAAAAGACCCTCAAGAAAAAAATATATATTTTAGGAAATGCTGTGGAAAAAGTCTTAAAAGAAGAAATTAAAAGGACAAACTAAAAGGACAGCTAATAATTTTGACTTCATTTGTATATATAAAACCTCAAATAGATCTCGGCATGAGCCAAAAGCACTAATTAGCATGTTTTAATAATTAATTTCAGTCAGTGGAATTTTAATTTTGTTCTTGAGAGCTGCAGCAGGAGCCAAACTGATGATGACCTGCTGATGATTTTTCGGAAAGCAAAATGATTGGCAGATTCCTTCATTATTGAGTAATTACTTTATTTTTAATTGCAGCAATTATTATAAACTCAGTCAAATAAAATCTCTCAAATAAGCCCTTAAGGAAAGCCTAAGATATCCTTGCTCACTGAAAAAAAAAACAGTGCTAGACTTTAACAACATCACTGGGACTTTAAACTCAGTCCTGTTTTATGAGGGGAATCTCTTTAGTGATCCCAAACCACACAGGCGTCACTTCTCGGCATGTCGAATCACACTTTTTAACTGCTTTAATCGAATCTACTGTTTAAAACAAGCAGTCTTTTGGTGGCGATACGTTGTTTCCAGTGGTTTGTGAGAGACGGATTAATAAGGAATATTCCACACACCTACCGCAGAGGGAGTGCACTCAGCATTCGAGACGCTTATTTGTTTTATTACGCTGCAAATGATAAATTTCATCCCTCATCCCATACAGACAAACCCAACCAGCACAGCAGATTATCACTATGGCGTAATGCATTTCTATAAACACAAGCCAATTCGAGTTAACTGGAAAACTATATAAGCAAACAACAGGTTATGACGCAAATCAGTCAATTACATTTCAATAAAAAAATCAAAAGGTGCAGCTACAATGACATCATTAATGTTCATCTTTTGTCTCATGCGAAATGAAGGAATCAAAACAGAAATGCAATTGATCTTCAGCATATTACTCTTCCGATGCATCACAGCCAAGCATACAAACATCAACAAAATGAAACAATTACATACACAAAGAAAAGAACAAAACCAATTCAGAGATCAAAGCCGCATTTCTAAACACCAGACATACATGAAATGATTCCCTTAAGGCCTCACTTTCACAGCTTGCAAGCAATGTAAGAACATTAGGTTTTCTATTAAAAATAAATCATGTCTTTTAAAGGTAATGTTGTAGCGCTATTTTAAACATGGTCAAATAAAGAGTTCAGAACTTAAACATGCAATACCTACTATCACCAATTATGGTGCAAATATTGCTGAGCACTCTCATTTTTAATGCATGAGAAATTTAGAGAAGTTTCAATTAGGCCAGTGGCAAACCGCACGTCTTGGCCCCTCCTGAGGCTCGTTATAAATGTGTATCTGTAATTGTATCTGATTGAGACAGACAGTCATGTTACTGTGGGCATTTTACCCTCTCTTAAATAATTCTTTTTATTTGGCCAGCTCACTGCTGAAATATTTGAAAGTTAAGTCAGTCTTTCAGAAAGTGTAAAGGTCACATTAATCAGCATGTGTCAATGAAAATCAATAAATTAACACATTGGGGCATGTGATTTATTGTTTTAAGTTATTCTTGTATAAATGAGTAAAGACGAAAAAGTTTTTCTACCATCAGAGTAAAAGTTAAATAAATCATAAAAGTAATAATTCACCCAAAAAATACAATTCACTTTTTATTTACTCACCCTCAAAACATCAAAGGTGTTGCTGATTTCTTAATCAATAAAACATCAAAGATTTTTAGTAAAACCTTGGTTTTTGTTTATGCTTCAACCTGTATAAAACTTGTTGCAATTGAAATTTTTGGGTGAGCTATTCCTTTACATTACCTTTCCATTAGATAGGAATATGTCCTTTTATTTTAAAATGCCATTCAGTGTAACACAGAATATACCAAAAATACACTTAAAAAAATGATGTTTGCTATTTCAACCTACTTATTTAAACTGAGCTGAAATGACACAATTGTTAAAAAAAATGGGGGGTGGAGGTGGGGGGGGGGGCAATTTACCTGTTTAATGTTCAATCAACCCTAAATTTGTAAAAACTATTAAGTTAACTTAATTCCTTCATGTTGTCCCAACAAAAATAAATTGTGTGGAACCCAGCATTTTTTACAGTGTATGTCAAAAAATAAATACTGCATGTACTTGAACAAGAACCATTTGATGACAAATTTAAAGAGCACCTATTTTACCTTTTTTTACAAGATGTAAGATAAGTCTTTGGAGTCTTCAAAATGTGTCTGTAAAGTTTCAGCTCAAAATACTGATCAGATAATCTATTATAGCCTTCAGAATCTGAGCATTTTAGAGTCCGAGTTGAGTGTATCTGTTTGCTGGGAGAATAAGCTCATTTGGATTTAAAGCCACTAGCTACAACTGTGGCTTTAAATCCAAATAAGCTGCTTCTCCCTGCCCACCGCTCCAGTGTGCATGTCTGCTTCTCATGCATTACATCAGATAAACAGCAGTCAGTGACAGAGACACACACAGATGAAGCTAAATGATACAGCTCATTAGTCAAAGTTTGAAAGTATGGGAGTTTTCTGAATTAAATAACAAAACATGAGAGTGGCGGGAGATGGGTCTGAAATACGGAAGACTCCCAGGAAAAACAGGATAATTGGCAGGTATGCTCAAACATACATTATGCACTCTGACTACTTCAATTTTTTGATAAGCCGTGGTGGGCATTTCACTCTGTTTCGTGCTGAACGTTGTCGACCATTCACAAAGAACTGTCATCGGTCCAATCAGCGGCGATTAGCATCGCGCTAAGGAAAAGTTTGGGAACAAATGAATCGCTGAACTAATCATATGGGAGTAGCTGGGATAATTAGGTAAAAATAAATGCATGCTAAAAGACAATGAAAGTGTTTTTTGACCTTGCATGCATATCAGCCTGTTGTTGGAGACCCCAAAAACCAAAATATGACCCTTTTAAAAGTATAATAAGGGCTCTTTAAATGTTTAGTTGTACGAAAAAGCAACTAAAGTCACTTTAATTGCATTTTCTATGATGAAAACACTAAAAGAAATGTATGTTGCAGAATTAAATGTTCATCTTTATCTTAAATACATTTAAACCATATCTGTGCAGCTTTAGTCTGTGTAGACTATAAATGCATTATTAACCAAGAAAAAAACTGATTTAACTTTATTCATCAGGTTCATAAAGCCCCTCACAGTGCTCGGGGATCTCCCATCCGCCAGTAATTGGAGACAAGCACCAATTAATTTCATATCTGTAATAATTAGCTGATGCATGGTTACATCATGAATATAATATTACTCTAGTTTCATTATTTATATCCAGATCCCTTTGTGCTTTGCTTTAAAGATTTGCCTCCCTTGACAAGCATCTAAAGTTCTTAAGTTATTCCAAGTCACTGAACTAACTTGATGTGAAGCATTATTTATTAATAAATGTCAACTTTGCAATGTGGCCAGCAAAAGCTAGTTCAAAACATCTGGGCCTTTGTGTGTGTAGATATTTTCGCTTTATGTTCAGAAGGAAACAGAAATTTGTGATCACTGATTCTTAAAAATTCTTCGGATACGAGTTAAAAGTTAATTCTGGAGTGTTTTTGGATTCGTTTGTTACCTTATCTATATGAGGGTGCCAGTACTCATCATGAGTGGTTTTGGCAGAGGTGCTGTTGATGCGAGAGAAGAAGGTGGGCTTGGTGAGGTACATCTGTTTGGAGTCCAGACCAAACGTCTCTGATATTGCCTTTTGAATTCGGCCACGGACATCACTGGTATAAAACAGGACACATACAATTTCTTTATATAGTAGACATCTGCCAGTGGGTCTTTAATTCATGCGTGTCCATAATAGGCATTATAAAACCGGAGATTTTCATGACCAGCTAGAGTGGGGACTGCCAATAAGCCTAGCAGACTAATCATTTAGGAATGCATGAATAATTAGTAACCAGACACATTCTTGATTTCAAAAAAACTATAATTATTTATAACTTGATATGCTGTGACATAAAAATGTGACACTAAGGGTGTAAAACTTGCACCATTTATAAATAAACACGTTGACCTCAGAGGTTTGTCTGGTTGTGGCGCGGCTAAAGAGGATTACTAAAATAAAAAGTAAAGCCAAAACAAAAGTTAAAATAAAAAGCTCCTTTTAATAAATAAATAAAATGGATAGACAAATAAATACAGAAAAAAAAGCAATAAAATGAAAATATGAAGTACAATTTAATTTATATTTACTCATTCCAATAACTGAAAAATGAATGATCAAACAAGATATAAATATTAAAAAGTAAAATAAAGAATAGAATAAAATAAAATAAAATAAAAAATACACTCTTCAAAAATAAAACAAAATAATTAAAATATGAAAGGAAAAAAAAAACATTTAGCATTTACTCATTCCAATAACCGAGGAAATTGATGATGAAACGCATATAAATATTAAAAAGAAAATTTCAAAATTTGATTAAAATAAATGAATAAATTGATGTAAAATAAAATATACTCAAATAATACAAAAAAAATTAAATATGTAAAGAAAACATTTTGCCTTTACTCATTCCAATACCTACGAATGAATGAATGAATGAATGAATGAATGAATGATCAAACCAGATATAAATATTAAAAAGAAAATATAGAACAAAAATTGTATGGATATAAAAATTTAAATATAAAACAACACAATTAAAATATGAAGTAAAATAAAAACATTTTTCATTTACCCATTCCAATAACTGAGTAATGAATGATCAAACAGATCTAAATATAAAAACACAATTAAAATAGAAAATAAATAATTAAATGGATATAAAATTTTTATATACTAACATAAAACAATAAAATTAAAATATGAAGTAAAAAAAACTTTTTGCATTTACACATTCCAATACATGAGAAAATAATGATCAAACAGATATAAACTTTAAAAATAAAAGAAAAATAGAATAAAATAAAAAAATAAATATATATAAATTAATATACTCAAGTAATACAAAAACAATTTAAATATGCATACGCAAGATATTGGGGTAAAACTATATCCTGAACTACAAAATCAGATACCTGCATTATAAATAAAAATGTAAAAATTAAATAATTATTTTAAGTAGATTTGAATAAATTTAATAATTAACTAATCAATTATTTGGCCCCCAAAACATGCCTATAAATATTTTCCAACATTTCCACACTTCTCACCTGTACAGTTCAAAATCTTCTTTGGTAAAAACCTCCTTAATCTCATTCTTAAAATATCTGACGACAAAGAGAAAAAAATAATTTTAAAAACTTACAAATAAAAACAGCATCAAACCAATCACTTTATACATGTAAAATATAGCATAGCAGCTATTTAAATACTCAAATACCACCATCCATCACATCCAAACACAAGCACTCCTGGATAAAAACAAGCGCCAGCTGTACACAGTAACTGCCAGCACAGCCCCAGCCTGTGTGTGGGCACCAGTGTCTAAAAACTCCAGGTGTAAAAGATGAAGACATGATATTTAGCATTGGAAGCTAAAAAGCCATTCCATCCTTGCCACCATTGATTTAGACTTTGCTCCTCAGGCCCAGGGGTATAACTTTGATGTGCACATGAAATGCACCACCAGAGGCCTGATAGAGTTATGATTCGGAAAGATCAAGCTGTCGCTGGAGTTCAATTGGAAACGACATCACTGTATGAAGACACACTGTTCTCACCTATAGATATTCACAAACTGCTTTCCCATAGAGAGCGCCCCAGAGTGAAGGTCCAGGATGGAGGCCTGTGGGGAAAAAATGTAATTAAATAATAATAAGAAAATAAAAATCTGTGAAAACATTTTCAAAAGAAAATAGTCAATATCTGAGAGAAAAAAAACATACACAAAAAAATCTCAACGCTTTCCCCTAGTGTCTCTGGTCTGAATAAATTCCAAGAACAACGACTTAATATGGCTTGCAACTACTCGAAAACTTGACCAGCTGAGATTGCTGTAATTCGTGCTCCATCATAAGGTCAACAGATGGACTCCTCTCAGTCCTGGTATTCCCTGCTTTCCGTCTCCACACACTTCATAAATCATCATGATGGGGCAGATCTGCTCTTAAAAACTCCGCAGGATCCTCTGTTATACCCTCTGGACACACTCTGTAAAAGGCCTTTTTTTTCTTGTAAGATCTCAGATTCGGTTTCTACCTTAAATTCGCCTTATGTAACACTACACAGGTTTAACGTTAGATATTCTCTGTGTGATGCGGTGAAGAAGAGAACATCATAAAAGTAATCCAGGGTTCTTACGTAAGAGGGGTGAAAAAGTCAACAAAAGAAAGACATGCTTTAGCTATGCAGTTTTCTATGGGAACTTCGAGCGTGTAACTGCAAATTATAAATCAACAGCTTGACAATTAGGTGGACATTTTGAAAAGTAATGTATAAAAATTTGGGGTCAGAAAGATGTTATCTAAGACTTACAAAAATTTCTGACAATAGAGTGGAGGAACTATGACGCCATTTTGTATGCAAAAACCCCGAAGCGAGTTCGCATTTTAGCTGTTCCGGTTCCCTCGTCCCAAAGTCAAAAGGTTTTTTCAATGGAATTTCTGTAAAATCGCTTAAATAATGCTCGAGTCTAACACAAGCTCAAGATACTTTCTTTAACGTTTTATTCTACGACATAAAACACATCAATTTCATTTCACTCTTGATTTTTTTAAGATATGCAAGATATGCAATGTTGAGTCTGGATTATAGTTGAACAGGAGCTACAGAATTGTATTTAATTACTGTATTCATACAGAATTTTTAGGATTTATGCAAAATATGTCCAAAAATCTACATTTTAAAACAAAAACAAGATTATTTTACTCCACTGGCAGATAACTTTGCTTGTTTTAAAGAAAAACTCTTCATTTTGCCTCTTTATTCTTGCTTCTAAAATCTTACTTCTTCTGAAGTTGAAAACAAAACATTTTTACTTGATTAAGATTTTTTTTTTTTTGACTAAAAATAAGACAAAGTAAAAAAAGCATTTTTTTGCATTGTGATTATTAAATTTTGGAACCTGCATTCAGTTAGACTGCCAGGAAAACAGTCAAATAGTGATATTCAAACAATCTTGTGAAACTGTATTCATATCGCAATATTTATCACAGACAAATATCTCAATATCAGATTTTTTTCCAATATCGTGCAGCCCTAATACATAGTTCACATATTATTGTAGAAGAATACTTAAATTTTATTTGTGTATCAAATAATATAAGTTTAAGAAACAAGCAAAAATGTCAGGATATTTCAAAGCATTAAAAAGGACCCCCAAATCACCTCAGACCGCAGAGAGTTAAACAGTAAAATGACAAACAATTCCCCTCTGTCTGAGTAAGATTAGTGAATATGTTGATGCAATTGACCCAAGTTTAAATATACCTCCTCTCACCAAAAAACATTCTGTTTTGTTGTTATCACAAAGTACGTATATAATCAAATATTCCAAAAGTGTAAATAAAGCCCCTTTAATGGTTTCATGGTTCGGGGCAGGAGCAGGGAGGGCTATCTTCCGATATTTCCACTGGGCAATAGTAAACAAACACTCACTGCAAATAAAAATAGAATTGACCTAATGTCTAAATAGAACATATTACTATATGCACTTTGTAAGTGACCAATTTAGCTGCAGGTTTTAAGGGTTATTTCATCCAAAAGTGAAAAAATGTTATTAATTAATTAATGTCATTCCAAACCCCTGACACAATCATTAGCCTTTGAAATACAACCGAAGATATTTTAGTCCAGAACCAAGCACCACATGTCCTTTTCCGCTCTCATCTTTTCCAGAATTTTAGCATTCAACCACAAAATGATGAACTGGCAAACTGAGCTTAATCTGATAATAATGCAAAACACAATCTCAACCACCACTGACACTGACACATACTGTTCCCATCAAATGCACAACAGTTGCTTTTAAAACAGAAAACGTCAATTTTCTCAGACTCTTAATGAGAGACCTAATGAGAGAGTTCCTGTACAAACTCAATAACACCAAACAATATGATGCCATCTAGACACAGAATGGTTAAGTAGTAGGATTTCTATTCCAGCAAATGCCCAAGCCATAGTGTGTACTGCCCTCTAGTGCTTATAAACTGCTGTTTCAATAATGGATCAAAATGTGATCCATTCCAAAACCAGATGTAAGAATATGAACGGGAGATGATCTACTCACACCACCATCTGATCCACCAAGTGATAAACCTCGCTCAGCCAATCTGTAAAAAAGTAAAAATATTATTGAAAAAAGATTAGTGATGGGCAAATATTAATTGCAAATAATCACATACAAAAGTTTTTCACATAACGTGTGTGTGTTTTATTTATTTATTATGTATATCAAAATATCATATACAGAAAAACAAAACTATACAAAATTTTGATACATAGAAATTTAAGTGTGTGTGTGTGTGTGCGGACAGACAGACAGACAGACAGATGTCCCTGTTGATTTCATCACTGCAACAGTGAAGTCATAAACTGTAAAATGACACCAGACATGACAAAGTTATATGAAAGAAGATCACGAGCAGAATAATTGTGCATGGTAAAAACACACATGCTTTCTGTAAGACAAATGGCAGAGATGTGTATTGGAACTGCGAGAAACTCTGCCACACCAGGAGGATTCCCTTATGCTCAAAATGACCCAGTTTTCCTTCAAAAGCATAAAAGATACAATATATACAATAGTATATAATATTTTCTCAGCTTACACTTCATATTTTATGGAAACATTAAAACATACTTTTTTATTATTCTTTCAATAAACATTACTTTGTATCTCTGTTATTATAACATATGTGACCCTTGTGTTACGTTGCACAGAAAAAGCAATAGGTATGAATAAACTGTATGGGTCAGCATAATATATATTTTTTAATTTTATGCCCAAAATAATTTGAATATTAAGTAAAGATCATGCTGCAAGATGATATTTTATAAATGTCTCACTGTAAATGTATCCAAATTTGATTAGTAATATGCACTGCCAAGAACATTTGTCAACTTAAAAAAAAAAAAAGTGATTTTCCCAATATTGTGATTTTATTGAACCCTCAGATTCCAGGTTTTCAAATAGTTGAACCTCAGCCAAATATTTGCCCAATCCTAACAAACCATACATCAATATAAAATGTATTTTTCAGATGATTTATAACACTTTCCTAACCCCTGAAAGCATACCAGCAAGATGTAGCATGCACTTTAACCAAACTCTTACTTAAAACAATACTGCCTACAATAATTATCACCAACAGTCAAACTATGTGAACAGCTTTTTGACTGTGTACTTGTGTATCTGTGTCTACATGTGTGTAATGTGTTTTCTTTACGTATAGATTGTCATTCCCGTATTTATTGTCAACATTGTTAATAGTATATTGTTTTGTTGTGGACAAATTTAGGACACTTATGGTTTTGTGGCCCAGGCTCATACATCCGCAATGTTCTCACTTAATTACCATCAAAATTGTAACTTTCAAAATAAATAGAGAAAAATCTTACTGAGTTGAAACTTGAGAATGATAGAGTATACATATATTTATTGGTGTGTTTGTACCTTCTAAGTTTCTGCGTCTCCTCCAAAGTCACAACACTGTCTGAAATGGCTCTGCCGCATTTTGCTGGAGTGCAACCTGAGGACAGAATACATTACCCTTTCATATCGATTCATTAATTATGACGGTGATTAAAGAAACTGGCTCTACGCCCCTGCCTGTACCCTTTTCAAACTGCATATTCAATTGCACATTCAGAAAGGAAGATTGCCCTATAAAATGTACTGCATAATGACTGAGTTTGATCCAACATCCTGTCAAAGAGGTGGTGCTTCCAGTCAGGATATATTCACAGCGGGGTGTTCAATTAACAACAAGTCTATACGTCCAATCATAGTTTCCCATGCCACTTGATAAAACCTAGTCGGAAATCCTGGAGGAATCCATAAGATTGACCATCACAGTTTTGGGACCATTCCACTCCATTCCCTTTCCCAGAGCTTATTTACACCCGTCGTAAAGAGAGTGGGATGAACAAGAGCCAAGGGAGTGCTTGTTAATCCCAGCACTTGCTTTGTTCGTACTGCCTGCAGCTTTTTGAAGCTGGTGTGAGGTTCGGTAATGAGTCCTGTGTGGGAGGCTTTGAGCTGTCAATCAGAGATCTGGCCTCCCACCAAATATCCAACTTCATGATTTAGGCCGATGGAATGCACAGGTGCTGACTTTGTTCAAGCTGAGCTTTCTACTTCTGGAAGTTGTTTGGGAAAATGTTTCATCCAATACAGCAATGCACACTATTTCAAAGTAATGTTCGTTCTTGTTCTGTTTCAGGATGGCAGGTGCAACTGTTGCGGAACGTGGGAGAGAGATAAATGTAGTGCTGCAAGTAATATGCAAATACTGACTTACAATAGTTGAAATAAATGTTTTACTGTAGATTACACTATGGAAAGAGTCTTTTTTTGTATTAAAAACATTTTTTAACTGCCATATTAGGACCACACTGGTTAGAACATCAAAAATTGAGATAACAGATAAATAGTATTAAGAAATGGTTGTGCCGCACTGAGCCTGGTTTCGCTTAAGGGTTTTTATCCTGCACTTTCGCCAATTGTTTTCGCCAAGTTTTTTCCTCACCACTGGCTTGCATGGTTCGGGACTTGTAGAGCTGCGTATAGATGGATTTGCTTTTTAGTGTTTGAACTCTCAGCAGTGAATATTAAACCACACTGAACTGAGCTAAACTGAACTGAAGTTAAACTCTGAAAACTGAACCGACACTGTTTTAAATCACTATAATCTTCTATGTGAAGCTGCTTTGACACCATCTACATTGTAAAAGCGCTATACAAAGGTGAATTGAACTGATCAATATTTGAAGTAGGTCATCACCTTTCACCCAAGCTGTCTAACAACTATAAAACAACACCCAATTTTGTCATATTTTTAAAAAACTTTTTTAAACCACTTCAAAATGTTGACTACTGTACATCTAATCTAACTACAGGGGGCTTTCATACCAGATAATTATCAGAATGTAATTATAAGAACTAGCCACTAAGCCCATTTCCCAGCTAACTATAATTTTCCCACAGACCAGTTTTAAGGTTGCATTGGTGTCATCACAGTAGAAAGTTGATATATGACTATGCCCATACATTCCGTATTTCAATATACTGTAATAATAAGCAAAGCCAATATTGATATGTTGGAATTTCAAAATACCATTAAATAAACACCCATTGACCACTTTATTATTTAGTACACCTTACTAGCACTGGGTTGGACCACCTTTTGCTTTTAGAAGTGCCTTAATCCTTCATGCCATAGATTCAAAAAGGTACTAGAAATATTCATCAGATAGCATCACACAGTTGTTGCAGATTTGTCAGCTGCACATCCATAATGTGAATCTCCTGTTCCACCGCATCCCAAAGGTGGCTTATTGGATGGAATTCTGGTGACTGTGGAGGCCGTTTGAGTACAGTGAACTCATTGTCATGTTCAAGAAACCAGTCTGAGATAATTTTTGCTTTATGACATGGTGCGTTATCCTAAAGGGATGGACATGGTCAGCAACAATACTCAGGTAGGCTGTGGCGTTGACATGATGCTCAATTGGTACTAATGGGTGTCAAAAAAATGTCTCCCACCCCATTAAACCTCCACCACCACCACCAACACCACCACCAGCCTGAACCATTGATACAAGGCAGGATGGATCTTAATGGAAAATTCCTTATCGAAAATAATTTGGCCTATATTAAATGTTAAAATAAATATTAATTTAAAAATTCTGTGTCTATTTATAGGAACACTATACATTGTACATTAACACTATGCAATAAAGCTGCAATAGTTAACATTAGTTAATTTAACTAAACTCATGATATAAACTACAAAGCTTTTATTAATCTTAGGTGTTGATTTCTTAATAATTGCTTAATCCATGAAAATCTGTGGTAATCTGATTAAAATTATGTTAATACCAAAACAACTAGAAAAAAATCTGTGTTTTTCTCACTGATGATTTGAATCCATTAGTTAACATTTACCAATGAGACCTTATGTTAAACTGTTAAATAAAGTACTTGAGAACTGTTCTGCAATTTAATTAGTTAAAACATTATAGTTTAATTTAAACATGTATAATAAAGCAATGCACAGTAGAATTTGTAACTTTTAAGCAGCTCAGGTCAATATTGTGATAATACACTAACCATAAACTCCTGCAATTATTGGAACCAAAAAATGTTATACTATCAAACGCCTAATGTAGTCGACTAAATAATTAACCAAATATAGCTACATTTTAACAGCATTGTGTTTGTTTTGTAATTTAAACTTGTATGTTTATTCACACACGCTCATGTGTGTCAGCAGCTTTGAGCAAGACTTTCATTTTATCTTTGTGGCAGCTCACTTTTAATCCACACTGGCTCCTTTGCACTCTCCATGCAGTCATCATCAGTAGTAACATATCCTTTCTATGGTATGGTTTGCTGGTCATTATTTATGCTCTAACTAGCTAGAACATGACGTCTGCACAAATTAATTTTTAGAAACCAAAACCACACTATTTTTTACTGTGGTGTTGCAATTTCAGGGAAGAAAAACATGATACACATGACATTTAAATCTGGGAATTAATTTTATTTTTTTTAGGACATGAGGCAACAGTTTCTTTTTCTTTTTTTTCCAGCCAAAAACCATGTCATTAGCAATGTGATGAGCCACAGAAGCCAAAAAGAGGACAAATAATGTTTTATTTTGAATAAATCCAATATGCAGAATTTAGACGAGTAATATGTTTGGTTATAAAAAAAAAAAAGTTTTATATTTTTTCATAAAAGATACAATATCTGCATGTAGGTCACAGTTATATTTTTACAAACCCTAATCCTTTCTCTAAATCTAAACCCAACCCATGAAGATACCTTATAATAACCGGAATCTTCTTAAATAAATGTATTGTAAGGGCACACACTGAAAAAAAATTAACTGCCGTCAACACGTGTGCTTAAGAATAAAAATTTCTTATTGCTTGATTTATTTGTCATCATATACAAATGTCAAGCAATACAGCAAAATAACTGTAATATTAAAAACTGAAACAACAACAAAGAACAAAATCCTTTAACATTTAAAGCAAATTTTACAGTGGAAAAGTATAGAAATCAAGAGAAAACTAAAATATTAATGACTTTTCAGCCTTTATGGTGTCATTTAAATTTCTGTTGTTGTTGTTGTTGTTGTTGTTGAAATACATAAATGTAAATTATATAACATAACTATATAAGCTATCTTTAGGGGTTTACAGAAAATTGTATGAAAAAGGGAAAATATCCAGCGAGTGGCAGTTTTGTGGGCGCAAATGCCTTGTTGATAGGTCAGAGGAGAATGGCCAGACTTGTTTGAGCTGATAGAAAGGCAACAGTAATTCAAATAACCACTTGTTATAACCGAGGTATGCAGAAGAGCATCTCTGAATGCACATGTCCAACCTTGAGGCGGATGGGCTAAAGCAGCAGAAGACCACATTGGGTGCCACTCCTGTCAGCAATTTCTGCTGCGACATTCTCAAACATGACAATGAGTTCACTGCACTCAAATGGCCTCCACAGTTACCAGGTCTCAATCCAATAGAGCACCTTTAGGATGTGGTGGAACAGGAGATTCACATCATGTGCAGCTGACAAATCTGCAGCAACTGCGTGATGCTATCATGTCAATATGGACCAAAATCATATATATCAAACTGCATTTATGTGTATTATTTATTCAATAGGCTTTAAGTACCAGCCCCTTAGGTAAATCCATTTGAATTGTATTATTAAAAATAAACACTTGAAAGGTAGCAAAGGAAATCAGAGTGAAAAATAAGTTTGGTTACAAATGCAATGAAATCTAAACATAGGAAATAAAGATTACAGCATGCAAAGGCAATTTCTATTATTTCAATAACTGTGAAATGTTTGCAATGCAATCTGCATCTTGAGTGGGTGAACTTCAATGCATAAAGGGACCACTTACACACCTGGAAAGTGCTTGTACCTCTTGTAGTCTTCAGAGCACTCGACTGGGAACACTCTGGGCTGAGTGAGGACTTCACCTCTGGAAACCAATGTGTGTGTCAAGTCATCAGACCATGTGAAATACAGCCAGCTCACTAGTCCAGTGGCTCCAAACAGCAGCAACAGTGAAGGCACATTCCCTTTCCAAGAAGAGGCCTGTCTCTGCGCATTTCCCCTGCAATGAATGAACACCCACACTAGATAGTAAACACAGGTGCATTGTGCAAAGAAAGGACTGAAAGATGTGCACTGCATTCATCCTTTCATTTGGCTTTTAAATTGCACAGTGAAATTATATATACGTATTTTGCAATATGTTTGCAGTATTATACATTTAAACAAAAAAATGCAGCAAATTTCGTAATGAATTGCAACGCAAACAAAATTGGAAAGTTAATGTCAAGTCATAAAGTTGTCAAATATGAAAATCGTTACCTCTTAATTTTCTTTTCAATGGCGCTACTTTCCGGATTTTTACTGACTCCTCGTCGTTGTGCAGTCATGTTTAATACTATAGCTGGATGCTTGATTCAACATTACACGTGTATGGTTTCGTTTCATTCAGTGTTTGTCTATTGATCTAAACTCCAAGTGTGAAAGCTGCCGCAAAAAAACGTCGTCAAATGCTGGAAGTTCAGTGTCAAAATAAAAGTCGCTTATTATCGTTTCATGTCAATCTCGGTGCTACTCTGTGTGTTATGCAAGTTTTTGAGTTATTCTTATTTACGAAAAGAATATTGGAAAATAAACACGGGAAGTTCGTCAACAATTAAAATGATTACTTTATGGATCGCTTTTCTACAAAATAAAAGTTAATTCAATTCATTCACACAGGTTGGGTTGTCATCTGCGTTAAATATAATTGTTCTAGTTATATTCTGTTCTAGTTACATCATGCTAATGAGGGCAAGTTACGTTGTTACAAGTATGGTTATTTATCTATTGTGAGGAAAGTTATCACAATAGATAACATTATTAAATCCTCTGCTGCCATGATAAATACAATCACTACAATTTCTGTAAATACAAACTCGTCTCATCCAGTCGAGTTTAGCATCGTTTCAGTCATTTGAAATGTCTTAAAGATCAGATATAGGGTTTTATTTGTTTATATATTTAAGATTAGAGTCTTTTAAGCATCTAATATATTACATGGTTGTTTGTACACATTTCTAACTATTTAATAATGTTCGTGTAATTTAATACTCCACTTCCGAGTGTATTTGACAACCAAACCTCCAAATGATTCTCATCTCATTGCAGAACAAATTTGCTTCCAGTTTAAATCACCCTACATTATAATAAAACACAAACACTAGATTAAAGATCATTTCCCTTGAATCCAATAAATGTAATCAAAACACTTTAATTAGTGAACAGGCCAACGCATACAAAAATAAAACAAAGCAGTTTTTCCTCGTACTTAAATCTGCCCACACCAAGATTTACATACTGGAGAAATTTGGAGCTTTTGGACATTTGTCGACCACCAATTTTCAATGTCAGGCACAAAAACCATTACTTGCCAAATTGTTTAACATCTCACTAAACTCTTGAAGGATCAATGCTAAATCGCCACTACAAAATCAAACACAATCACATGCAGAAAGCTCTCAAATCAACACTGGACTTTAGAAAGCCATTTAAAAACACCATTCTCCCACAATTTCCTTCTTGTTAATGAATATTTATAATTGCACACTAAACAGAAAAACTTGAGAACTAAATATATTTTGTGAAGAATGTGTGGATGCGTACATTTACAGGAAATTAATATGATTTTTTTTTTTATGTACAAAACATGAAATTAAAATAACTTTAACTTAAGTGATGGCCTATTGCTGAAGTTTGCATTGAGATACTGAGAAATAAAAGCAAACAGAATAAATTTCAGTGCAGACATAAATGTGTGTTATTGGGAAAAGGTTATTTTTTTTAATCAAACCTTTAAATAGGATTGGGCCATTTAATATAACCACCCGACTTGGCAAACAGTACACTGTAAATACAAAAACTGTAAAGACGGTTTACTGCAAAAGTAAACGGCAAACAATACTCATGATCAAACAATTTTAAAAAATAATTTCCTAACTTGCGTGGTAATATGATTGGCAACTGTGCTTATTACAGAGCCTCCTCGTTAGAATAGTTCTTTTCAATCTCTTACCTATAACAATCTGACAGAATGTGCATCTATAGAATAAGAAAAACCAGAAGAAAGCAAAAGATATGCACTATCGCAAACAACCAATGAACCGCAGATAACCGAAACCCAAGAGTCTGTATCACAAAGTTGCAGTAATTAAAAAACTTTTAAATGTAGAAGAGCTTTACATTTCTACATGACATTTTTCGGATTTTATTGTAGTTGTACAACATTCCCTGATGGCCTGTGTTGGCCGCTGAGAGATACAGAGAAGAACAAACCAAACGAAAATATATCTGAAAGATGAAATTGTCCTTTTTGAAAGAAACGAAACATTAAAAACTCTCAACTGGGGGAACAAGTAGATCTTGTTCAATGTTGTCCCTTTTTGCTGTGAGAAAAAAAAAGTTCCACATGTCGGCCATTCACAACCACACACGCACACACACACACACACACACACACACACACACACAAGCAAGCAAACTCGCAAACATACAACCATTTCACACAGCAGCAACTTGTGGCGTTTCTTCTGTAAGAGAGAAACCAAAGAGCAAACATTAAAAGCTTTGAAATGCAATAATTGTGAAATGCATGTATGATTTCCAATGGCTCACCTATGTTAACTTCTTAGCCTTGTTGTACAGTGAATCCACAACTTTGCTCATGTTCTGTATGGTTTCTAGAGCTGCCTCGTAAGTTTTGTCCACAGGGGGCTCCTCGAATATGATGAGCACGTCTTCACCTTGGTCGAGGATGCCTGAAAGAGTGAATTTGATTATTTAGTTATACAGAGTGCAGAGAGAAGGACAGAAAATACTAAAGATAATAATACACAGAAATAAAATCAATATAGCCTAGTAGAATTGTTACATAGCACAGACTGTGATTTAGTGGTGTCTGAGAATTAAATTAGCTACCCACTGAATTATACATTCCATTCTGTAGGAGAAAGACCGAAACATTATCCAATTAAACAAACTTTAATAATCTGTTTTACTTACAATTTGTTAAAAAGTATCATATTCAGGGTTTCTGCAGGTGTAATTAAATCAAATTTCAATCAAATTTTCAAATTTCAAACAGACTTTGTAAGACCCTTTAAAGACCATTATGAATTCAATTTTAGACGTAAACAGGGCTAAACACTAACGATTATATCTAATGGCCCTGTCAGTTGCCACAAATAAACCTAAAAAGAACCCAAATATGATGTAAATATTTCTTAGCGATTATATTTTATAATATATTATATTTTAATGTGTCAAAACACATTGTTAAAAGTTTCTTTATTATGGAGACAATGACATAAATAATCAAAATTATGTATATATATATATATATATATATATATATATATATATATATATATATATATATATATATATATATATATATATATATATAAACACAAGAGTAATACAAAAAGAATAATAATAAATGTGACTAACCATGAAACTTTTTGTCGAGGATCATTTGTGACAGTTTCCTCTCAACATCATTCTGTGAATAACAGCAAATAAAAGTCAATTTAAAAAATATTAAATATCATCATATATAGATTGTAATATAATAATTGAAGTTTTATATAGCTTTTTGTATTGTAAATTTATGGTGGGACAATTAGAACCAAGCCTTTCCCTAGTTTTAAGGGAGAATATCATCTAAATAGTCGTTTAAACATGCGTTTAAGCTTGAGGGTGGACAATCTGGAAGTGCCACGCACATGAAATTAACCAATAGCAAACCACAGCCAATCAATTAATTCAGTGGCTCCCGAAATGGGGGTCAGAAGCATTTGGACCTGAAAATAGTAAATAACAAAATTGCCATTTTAGACTAAGGGTGTGTAATATATATGGTAAACGGTAATGTGTTATTCAAGTCTTCAATCAAAAGCCATTCACTGCAAGATGAAGTCTATAACATTAAATTAGAATGATGATAAAATTAAAGTCATATAGGCCAAAAATATCCATGTCCTTTGTTTATTAATAGCATATAATAAAGTAACACAGGAAAATGATGTCACCACCTACTGGCATTTTTTTGCATAATTTGTATTCATCTGAGAAAGGCCTAAACAAAATGTAATACAAAACTCAACTCATAAAAAAAAAAAAATTCTGAGAAATCTTTTTTTTTCCAGATACTGCAATGAATGATGAACAGTGAAGAGAACAGTCCGTACCTTTGAGAGCTTGATGAGACCTGCTATATGTGTTATCTAATAAAAAGACAAGGTACATGGGTTATCAGCCTTCGTTCTTTTGAAATTACATTTCTCAAAAAGTAAATACTACACGCAGAAAACATCCATTCCCACACTACCTGTACTCTGGAAAAGGGCTCAATGACCCGAATGAGGTTCTGTTCCAGCAAATTGTCGTAAAGCTTGGCCAAATGTGTGTTAATGATGGGGTCGTCCCTCAGCTCTTTAGTGTACTCTGTCAGGGCCTTCATGAGTGAAAGAGAACGAAGAAAGCGGAGCATGAAATCTGAGGTGTCTAATGAAAAATGTTTAAAAGACACAGTCTCAATCTTACCTTTTCAAAATCTGCTAATGATCTGTTCTTGCTGGCTTGTGCTATACATTTCAGTGCATCAGTCTGAAGGGGGAAATAAAGGGCAGAGCTATAAATGAGCACTTTCTCAGTTATATATACACATACATGCAGTGGGGAAAATAAGTATTGAACGTATTGAAATATATCACCATTTTTCTCAGAAAACATATTTCTAAAGGTGCTGTTGACTTGAAATTTTTACCAGATGTTGATAAGCAAAGAATTGATATATGAAAAGAAAACTAGTCTAATTAGTTAACAAATGAAGTTATGTGAAATAAAATGATATGACATAGGAAAAAAGTAGTGAACACATGGAGGGAAGTGAAAGGCAGTGAAAACGCAGACAGAAGCAGAAATCTTTCAGTAGTTATTCAGCAACTCTCTTCCCTTCATCATTGTTTTTAATACTTGCCGTTTCAGTCCAACATTATCAGGATGAAGAAGATAAAATCAGGGTGGACATTTCAACAAGACAATGATCCAAAACACAACAAAGGAACTCTTAAAAGCTTTCAGAAATTTTTTTGATGTTCTGTGGGTCTCGTCTTTCAAATCTGAACTTAATTTTTTTATTTTCTATTGGATTCAAGTCAGGTGATTGGCTGGGCCATTCTACAGCTTGATTTACTTTTTTTGAAACCATTTGAGTTTCCTTGGCTGTGTCATTGTCTTACTGAAATGTCTACCCTGGTTTTATCTTCATAATTCTGCTAATGTTGGTGCTAACACCGAGGAAGGGCAAAGGGCTGCTGAAGAACTAATGAGAGATTTCAGCTACTGTCTGGGCTTTCACTCCCTGTCTACACCTCCCTTTCTT